TCTGTGCAATGAAACCGATCATTGACTGGAAATGGTACCTTCAGCTACTTGGAGATCACTTACCATTCATGGCTTCACGTACTCAACAGCGATGGGATTTTATGAATGACAATGCGCCATGTCACCGGGCCACAACTGTTCGCGATTGGTTAGAAGAACATTCTGACAATTACAGCGAATGATCTGGCCACCTAGATCGCCCAATATGAATCCCATCGAACATTATGGACATCATCGAGAGTCGTTCGTGTCCAAAACCCTGCAACGTCAACACTTTCACAATTATGAACGTCTATAGAGGCAGCATGGCTCAATATTCCTGCAGGGGACTTCCAACGACTTGTTGAGTCCATGCCACGTCGAGTTGCTGCACTTCGCCGGGAAAAAGAGGACCGACAAAATATTAGGAGATATCCCATGACTTTTGTCACTCCAGTGTAAATAACCTCGCAAGTTGGCTGAAACCTATACCGACGTGATAAACACTATTGGCAAGAATAACGCAAAGCTGAAGAAAAACTGCTTTACTAGAATTGCAATTAGTAACGTGACATTCAGCAGGCGAAACAAGCTGTGACTAATTAATCTGTAGCCTTTCGTTAAATACTATCTCTTTCTACCTCATTTAATATGCGCGAACTAAAATTAGCATTCTTTAAGAAAAACGGAAAGGGGGAATGACAGTAAAGATATTTAACATAAAATAACTGGTCTGATTAAAAATAAATTAATCCTTATAAATTTCTAATCCTGTTTCCTAAATAGATTCTATTCAATCTTTGTACAATTACCTGTGCTTAAACTTTTAAAGTAACTGGTTATTGGAACAGAACTCCTTAAATATCTTTGTTATTTTGAAGATATGCTCTCGAGATTGTAAGGATTTAAAACAATAGAGCTCTCAAGGTTAAAGTTACAGTGAACAAATTTGGAAATTTTTGGTCGGCAACACAACACCCACCTTTTTCCAGCGCAAATTGATCAGCGCACTGAAAACCAAAAGTATAGCGTTGGAACAATACACATATGCTGATAATTACCAGCGTAAAAAAATTTCAAAGAAGAGTATTGTAAAGGACCAATGAAAACACAAGAGATGAGAGGAGAAAAAAACTTTTATTGAAATTATAAGTGTTTAAAGTGTCCACTTTTGCAGATTATAACGCATTACATCTTTATAACACTTACAAATGTAACATTGCAGGAGGAATCTGTATAACTTCACGTTTTATGGCACCTTTCAATTTTGACGAATCTCGTGGCTTTGACTCGCGTACACCTCAGATTTCGGAAATCCCCAGAACCAAAAAACGATCGGAGCGAGGTCGGGGAATCGCGGTGGCCACGTAGCTAAGTTAAGGGAGATGACTCTATCTTAAAACGTTGTACTCGTTGAAAACTTGTAATTCCCATAAAACATTTTCCCATCTTCCTTTCTTGCGTGGTCAATGGTCTTTTACAACGCTGTTCTTTGCAAATATTTTGTTCTATTTTCTTCATACGTGTGTTGTTCTAATGCTGCTTATGGGTTTTCAATGCGCTGATCAATTTGTTAGGGAAAAAAGTGAGTGCTAGCTTCCAACAATTGAAAATACTTTAAAGGTAATCATAACCGTGAGAGCTCTGTTGTTTTAAATCAACGCAGTCTCCAGCGCATACCTTGAATACTAATATCTGAAATTTCATTTCGATTGGTTGAACAGACGAGTCGCTAAGCATTCATAGATCGGGGAAATTTCTTTATGATCATTCCATATATGCAACACGAAAAGCTCTTACATAAATTTCTAAGACCTCATCCGTACATCTCAAGTCGGCCATAGATCTGCGGTTGAAAACATGTAGGGACATATGGTCATCGATCCGTATTCCTTTCCTTATTATTACCGCACATGCATTGTGGAAACGGTCACGTTCTATACTGTTGGGAGGATGATTTCGTGTTCCTAACTCCCACTTGATGTGAACACGTGAGGAATCAGATCTTAAACTAAACAACGACTCATCAGTAAGGAGAACATGGGATCATTGGCGTTCACTCCTGTTCTGGTGTTGTTTTCGCCAATTAAAACGATCCCACTTTTGTTGTAAATGCAGTGAAACACATATCCTTAGCTTTCTGGAGTAAACGTTTTACATTAAGGCTTCTGCGTACAGTTCGCCGTGATACAATAGTTCCAGTGGCTGCTGATAGCTCTGCACTTAACTGCCGAGTTGTAGATTTCCTATTACGATGACCATATATCGATCTTAAGAAGCAGCTGTTCGTTTACGATCTTGTCCAGCCTCCTTACTAGAATTCTGAAACTGTTCCTATAGCGTTCGCTTTATTCATAGATGCAGTTTCGCAGCGTTTACATACCCAAGAATAATGATATTCCATGAAATATACAGTCGATGCAGTCAGGTTTTGGAGAGAATGTGTGAAACACAGTTCGGATTAGCATTATCCAATCAAAAGTAATCAAACGGTTTCGGATATGCAAATTAAGGCGTTATATCATCAGACGAAATGTCAAGCTCTTTGATCAAAGTGAATATCTGAGTGAAATTCTGCAGTATAATTTAAGGTGTAAGGACTCAAAATGGTTTTTACTGCTTTGAAGTATCATTTTGAAGAATCATGGAAGCAGTAAGATCTGTGATTATTTCAGGTCAGACAGTCTCTACGCTATAGAAGCAATTTCAGAACTCTGGAACTGCTAAAGAAGCCTGAATGAGGTGGTAAATAGTAATTCTTCTCAAGATCGATATTTGGCAATAACTACCGGTCGTAGCAGAAAGTTTGCTACTCGGCAGTAAAGTTCAGAGTTTGCAGCTGCCACTGGAACTCCATGCTGTATTCTCGGAGAGAGTGGTTCAAATTCTGGTATTCATAAATCAGCTGATTTAACTATATTTACTTTTTAGTAGAATATTTTTTCCAACTACTCATAGTTGGCGAACTGGATTGAGCGCTCTTTCACTATCCTAAATTCACATACAAACTATACCTATAGTGTTGCCAAATTGGTTTTAAATTAATTTTTGATCATTGCTTGTCCAGAAATGTTTTAGTTTTGCTAGACAAACTTAGTTAACTTTGAGGAACGCTATTTTGCCGTACGCAGAGTATGTTAATGACTTAATTCCGCGTTCCGCAAGACTACATTTAACTACGCGTTACTGTATATTTAATGTTATTTTATACTGTTGTAGCGAACCTCAAAGGTACCAAAATAGGATGTAACGAACTGTATAGATGTTATGGATGACTGGTATATGACTGAAACTTTTTTTGTTCTTCCTATTTTTTACCGAATTTCTTCAAATTTAAACGAAAAATTTGCTAACCCTAAAAATCATCCATGTTTAGAATTTAAAGATACCATTCCGTCCATAAAGAGAAACACTTTTATATTACTTTTCTTATCTTCACTCCCACTTTTCTATATGTTTGTTTAACGGTGTTAAACAGCAGGGTACGTGGGTGCGAGACACTACCCCTAATCGAATTAAATTGAAAGTTACGAATTAAATTCTGCCACTAACTTAAATATGTATTCTAAACAAAGGCACTGTAAGACAGGGGTGAATCAACTTCTAGGAGGAAGGCAAGAGACAAAAAGCATATCTTAGGACACCATATGAAGTTAGTGGTCATTGAACTGAAGAACATCAGCGGGTTTTATTATCCCATTCAAATTCTTTAACTGAACAATTATACGGAGCTCTATTCAAGGCTGATGCAATGATGAAAATTTTGAAATTTTCGCTATTCAAGAAAAGAGGAAATAGCGAATCATATGAGCTTCGAAAAAGAATTTTACACTCTTTAGGTCCTCTGCATTAGATACTATTTTCTAAAAGTTGCTGAATCTTTGCTTTGCAACCATGCATACAATATCTTGCAATCTGCCTCACGCTATCCGAAAATTACAGATTATTTATAAAAATAATCTGTATGATGTATCTGTAATGAGTATAAACTCAGACGTTAACTAAAAGTTAAAGGTAAATTATTTAGTATTTTTTGTCATTCATTTCCACTGCTTCTGATTATTACTGATAAAGTAATTATTCATAGTTATAAATGGGTAATTCGAAGGAAGAAATAGAATTGTGATATTAATGAGAAATAATTTGTCGTGTAGAATTATCAAGGCATAATGATACTGGAAACAACCTACAAATTTAATAGCTTCGCATTATAATAATCATAAATAAATCTTAATATGATTTTTTATAAAATTAGATTTATCCATTCACTTATTTTAATAAATGTAACAGTGTTAATCAGTTTCTTTTTATGATTCATCATTCATTTTTACACAGTTTTGTGAGATAATCCCTTTTCTTATCGGATAGTGAACCACTGATTATGAGAAACAAACTTCCGTTTCCTTTATTTTTGTTATAGCGGGATAACAGAATATAACAGAATGGTAAACATTGTAAGTCTGTTATAGGGTGTAGGGATTATGCTTTCTTCCCCTTAAGCTATTAATTCAAACTTGAATTTCTGCATGGTAAATATAAGTTTTGCCTCAATGATAGAATTAAGTTCTGCAGAATAATGTAATATTTTTTCTATTCGACCGTTATACATTATCTTAGTTGAAATAAAGCTTGAAAATCTGCCAGTTGAGGACTGAAAATAACAGGTGTTAAAATTTGAAGCATAGGTCAGAACTTAAGTACTTCATGCTAATTTTATCATAGTTCTCGCTATGTCACAGAAGTTCATACTGGTGATTATTGTTATCGTACGTTTTTCTCTTCTGTTTGCTTTTATTCTAGTGACCCAGAAAACGTGGATATACTTCGTGGAAAATCTGAAAACTGCAACTATAAAAATTTCGGAAAGAATGAATTCTTCTCGAAAAGTTTCTTGATTTATTATACTTGTTTCTTCCTGCACTGATAAAGCGTTTGAAAAAAATAATAAAAGATATTTATGGAAGGTTTATGCCCTCCGTAAATATCTAATCTATCATGCTTTAGTCTAGAGGTTTATGCAGATTTTTTGTAATTGAGTTTTTCTCCTAATCACTTCCAGAAATGTAGGTAAAAATGCAGCACATTTAAGAATGTTTTGTTGAATGAAAGCCAAATACGGTATATTTAAAAATTTCTGCGCATCGCGTTTTCCTTCTTTTGTAAGTATGTTTTTTCTTGTAAAATTCAATTGCTATTTTTTATTTGTTTAATGCAGTTCTAGGGAAACGTTCTAACTGGATTATTGTAAAGCTGTTATTCTTTCGAACATTAATATCAGTTAAAGATAAATGGTCCATCAAAAAAAAAATCTCTGTGATTATGGACTACATTTTGATGTAAATGTTTTTAGATGCAGTTTCCTGCGAACGCTAAATGACTGCATCAACATACTGGGATTAAGTATAATTCTGTCATCAATGTTGCATCGAACCTGTTTAGGGCTAATTAAATTGGGGTGAGTGTGTAAGGGAATCCGGTTCTGTAGGCTAAAAAGAAGGTATTAAGAGGCTGGTATCGGGTCTAATACATTTGTGGTCATAGCATCATCCCGATGCAGATCAAGAATTCCTTGTTTGAACTCTTAGTTGAAGCAAACATGTACACGACTTATGTGACACTACAAATATCAAGCAAACATGTACACAACTTATGTGACACTACAAATATATTCCATTCAGCACTGTTAAGCAAAGGAAGAATTATAATGTTATTCTAATTTTACGACTCAAAGGTCTAAAACTCAACAGGATTTTGACAAATTAAAGCACTAATGATTAAATAGTAGATTCTTTCAAAATTAAGTACGAACCCTTTATTAAAGCTGAATTTTCCCCCTTATGCTGTAAAATTTCATTAAAAGCTTTATCATCGCAAGAATTACATTCTTTCTTAATCGAAATTGCTACATCCCTTTTAAGAAAAGATAATGCTTCCGCAATTACTTATCAGTGATTAATAACAATATAAGTGACAGACTAGTAATAACGGTCCTGAAAATTCAGAAACTGTGTAACAACTTAATAATTATACATACGAAGAAACGAAGAAGAAATTATCTTTATTTTTGAAAGAAGCATTCCTTGAAAACTGCTTTAAGTGCATAAAAAGGTTAAAAATAGTGTTAACATAATAAAAATAAAAATAAATGCGTAATAAGAAATACTAAATAATAATACTTTCGAAGATCAAAAGAGAACTATCAAAACATACTATACAGAGTTTAGACAAAGTTAACAAAGTTAATATGTATAAGTAACATCTAAACAAGTACTATTAATAGCAGTATTTTTTAAAATTTTACTGATATATTTTACTTATATATACTTACTTAAATAAATTTTTAACTATGTATTCTTGCCTTTGCTCAGAATTATTGCATGTTTATAATTTACGCTTCTGGTTTACATCATTTCGAGTATTAATTGGTTCCTTATCTGTAGTTAACATCTGTGTCCTTTAAATTCTTAAAATTATGACATTTCACTTGAGTTTAACAAAAAGTTAAATGTTTTTTACACCTTTTCTTTACTTCTAGTTCCGTCACGCACTTTCTCAGTATAGAGGTTTATGAAGATTTTATTGACGGTAGTTTAAATTAAAAGAAAGAATAGTAACCCCTTTTAGCTGTTGCTTCGGCTTCGATATTGCCTTGTATGGAATAAGAGTGATATTAGATATTAGGCCGGGTTTGCAAGCATGTTTTATTTTAGAGCAGTCTGTCCAAACTCAGGTGTTTTTGCAGACTTGAGTAAGAATACTTATTGCAGCCAATTAAATTTATTCCAACCAGTTGTTGAAAGTCGAGTAGACAGAGATTTCGTTCGTCATTATTTTAATTTGTAACTCACAAATAATGACCTAAACTAGAAGTTAAATTAAGATTTTCGAATTCTTGTATGTTTGTTGCTTTCACAATCTGTTTAAGTTGAAGGCAATAAGTCATATGAAAGCCTTAATATCACTTCTGATAGTTGAGTGTATAGTAGTGGCATTAGTTAGAAAGAGACCTCAAACATTATATTGGAGCCTAACGTAAAAATTGAGTAAATTAGTTTAGAATTCATAGAAGTTCAAATTAGTGTTGTGTAAATTCTAAATCTGTGATATAGCTATTCATATGAATACAATAGTGAGGGAGCAAAGATCTGGTGAATCCGCAAGTTTGGAAAGGATTGTATAGACCTCAGAAAGTTTTGGTCCTAGGCCAGGTAGTGGTGCAGTAGAAGAATTTTGTCGATTTGTTGATTTATATGACAGTGAAGCCAAATGTAACTTCTGATGGAACGCCATCAATGCTGAACATTTTTGAAAGAGTCGGGGACGCATTTTTGCTCTATGCATTGTCAGAAGTGATATTTTTGTGGTCGGTGTTAAAGGGAAAGGTGTTAAATGGATATAAATATATGGGCAAAGCGTTGTTAGCTTCATTGGTGCATTGAGGTGCAGGTCATTCCCACTGATCAGATATAACACAAAGTTGGACACTTAGCTGCATAGCAGATTGCAATTAGAGGGTGGAGAAGTAACTAGGTTTTAAGAAAAGTGGAACTCTGCAAATAGTTGCAGATGATTAGTGAAGCAAAATATTGGAGGTAGTGGTCCAGAGGTTTTTACTTAAAACAAAATGCAGAAACACTTGTATGTTGAAAAGCTTATTTCAGTTACGCTCAAAATATGAAAGCGAAAGAATGAGAGTAGAGTATAGGAGTATAATGAAAGCACGGGGCGGATATGGGCCAAATACCAGATATCAAGCTTGTGAACATGGGTGACAATTTGATCGAGTATAGAAAAAAGTCCAAGTGAAGAAAGAAATGCGTGGTTTTGAGAATAAAAATATTAGTGCGAAGAAGGGAAGAAAGGGAGACTTAAAACTAAAAAATGCAAAAGTAGGAGCGAGAGGTCATACGTCCCCTTTGAGTCTGAAACCCTCTCCATTTCTTCTAACCACTGATGTAGTAAAAATGTGAAATTGTCATATCTGCATTTTGCTGTTAAATAAAGTGCCAGCCAAAGTTAGGTAAAGGCAGAGACCGAAGATTTGTGTTTGCTAATATTTTTTTAGAAGGTAATTTTAACTAGAGGGTATTAATTGTTTGAGTTACAAAGGACAGAAGTGTTGGCAGGTCAAAGAGGGCAATATATGGTTTTAGGAAACATAACACTGAATATAAAGGGGAAAAACGAGACGACTCGCAAAAGATGATATTTTTAATTTTGAAAGGGCCGCAAATAAATGATATTTTGGGCTTTGATTTCTCGCAGAAAGTCAGATTCCAGTTAGATTTAAAAGAAAATTCAATAGCTTTAAAAATGGGTGAGAGGAACAGCATAACAATCGGGATTCTGGAACAGAGAATTAGAGGGCTGCATGACATCAACGTGTCTAACGACGTGTGGAGGTGAGTTGTTTCGGGATGCCAGTTTTGTATTTATTTATTACATACTCCGCCGTTAGGCATTACACGGGAAGGGAGGGATGACTCATGCAGGACTTCGGCTAAATGGATATTTGGACTGTGGATAAATACATATTTATCTGGGTCGGAAGCTAACTCAACAGCTCAACGGTTCAAACCTTGAGTGGTGCATTGAGCTCTGCGATCCCACGACTCCTGAAGAAAATCAAGAGACTCAAACGTGGGGGTCTTGTAGTGCATCCTTTGATGAGATGCGGAATAAGCAAATAATACGTATTTATTATTATTACTCTAGAAGCCAGGTTACTAAAGCATGTTCTAATTAGTGATCATAGATCATTTCTTAAAATCGTATGAATTTATACATTATGTCGCACGTCGGCAATTTCAGTCGTAGAAAGACTTTTAAAAAAATGCCTTTTGAAGTTAGGGGTGACATTCAAAACCATATCGAATCATTGACCGTAATTTCTTAGTAATATATTAGATAAGCTGTGCTTAAACCTGGACATAAAATAACCTCATAGAGACATCAGCCCAATATCGCCAAACTTGTGATTGGAATATCGCCAAGCTTGTGAATAAGGCTTGTGAACAGGCAGACAATTCGTTGCTTCATCATAAAGTAGCATAGCAGCTGAGATGGGCATATAAAAAGTTAGCGTATGCGCTGCTGTCAGCTAAGCACGAAGCAGCCGATAATACGCCAGCAGAGTTTTCTTTGGGGTTGAAAAATCCTATCTTCAGTTTTTAGATTCACTAAACAGTTCATAGTTCGTTGAGCCCCGGTGTCTCCATGATCTCCGCATAAGCATATTTCTGTTGCTGTTATTCTTCTTTTCAGGAAACTTTCAGTTAACGGTCCGTGTCCTGTTGAGTACTGAGTGAGGTGAGACTGAATAATCTTGTTGTTGTTCTGGCTTGTGTAGGTGTAGATATATAACAACACAATTTTTACACAATTTAATAATTAACATAATTTTTACGCTTTGGTGGTTTATGCATAAGCACAACGGCCATACAGAAGGTCAGTGCAGATTCCACGTAGCTATTTCGGGAAAGAATGAATGTGTTTTAGTGAACAGATATATGCTATTGTAAATTGCTGTTGTCTATACGTAAATACTGCAAAAGATTTTTTTTTCCTCCCAAATTCAGCTGTAAGGATATGGAAAGCCAGAAGACGTAAACTTCGAATTTGTAACGAGGCTGCAAACGAGTCGGACTCTAGAAGTTAGAAATAGTTTTCGTAATGTCTGTTTGAGAACTTGTATATTAAAGTCATGTATATAAACTGAGTATAAATTGTTGACATGTTACAATTATGTACATAAATTGTTAACTATCAGTTAACTATTTACTTTTACACCTTTCTTTTATACCTCGTTTTATCATGTACTGACTCAGTCCAGAGGTTTATGCAGATTTTCGAGGCATTCAGGGAAGTTCACATTGGGAGGGAAAATCGTAACCGCACGATTTGCAGAAGAGTCGTTTGGCTGTTGCTTCGTTCCTCGATAGCCACTGTTCTAATAAGAATATTACTATTGGCCGTATTGGGCATTTAGAGTATATCGTCTGATTCAAATGGTCTTTTAGTCTCGAAGAGGAACACTAGTACTGTAGCCACTTAAAGTTGTGATTTCCAATTAGTTGCTGACTTGGATTTTTTTGTCCGTGTCATTTTAATTTGGAACTTATAAGTAGTGAGATAAAATAAAGTTTTATGAGTTTATTGT